TTTTTTTTTTTTTTTTTTTAATTATTTTTGAAGGACTTCAGCAATTACAGACACAGCAGAATGAAAACCACAGCTAAGAGAAGGGTACTTCCTCATTCACAGACATCCTTTCCTTTGGAACTGACTGTGTATGCCAAGGGGAAGACGACAAAGGAGAAATTGCATGGCATAGACGGACTCGCTAACATACCAGCTGCTTAAGTTTCAGTATCAGGAACCCACAAGAGTAGGACGCTGAGGGCCACAGCAACATAACCTGATTGACTTCAGCTACGTCATCCCACGCAGTGTTCAGTAACACTCTTACGTGAGTAACTAAGGCATTAAATATTTGTAAAATGCTACATTTTCCCATCGCTGACCCCCAAGCGTGATTTAACGAAGGGAATGGTTCCTAATGCATGTAGTTATTCCAGTCATGCCATTGAGCCTGCTTCTCAAATAAAACAGAAAGGAGGGTACAACTATCAGAACTGTGACAGACTCTGTAGTTCTCAGGGTACCGCAGAATGGAAAAAAAGTTAAATAAATTTTCAAAGTCCCTAAAAGTTGGCATCAGTAAAAGCAGATACAAATTTAATTTCTGCAGAATACTGCAGCTGACTTAACTGTATTTCCACAGAATTCTAAATAACAATTAACAGACTATATTTAGAGGTATTTCAGCACTTAACCCTTCTGCTAAAACAGCGTTTTGTTTCAGGCCTAACCCTCCAATTTGATTTTACAGAAACTAACAAGTAAATTATAACTCTTCCATGGAGCTCAGACATGAGCTCTCAATTTAAAACAGCCTCTGGATTATCATTTAAAAGCCATCTAGACATGAAGTGCAAATAGGATCGATTATTATTATTTTTTTAATCTGAAAAACAGTCGAGTTAATATGAAGCATCCAGCCTGGACGTAACATTCCACACTCTGCAAGTAAGTGTTAGAAGAAAGCTCCCTGACCAAGGTAAACCAATAGAAAAACATTCAGTCTAATCTTCTAAATCAAGCTTTAAACAATAATATTCCAGCTGAGACTGTGTCTAGCAAATTGCATTTAAACGGCCCACAAAAATCCATTTAGTCTTTCACTTGCCAGAACAGCAACGGGGGGTAGCAAAAACTCATGTGTTCTCAAGTTTCTAACTCTAATTGATTGATGGGGTAAAGAATTGCAGACAATGTCTGAAACTGGAAAAGAAGTAAAATGTAGTGTATATTCAAAGCTAAAGAAAATTGCATCCTCAGAAGAGGAGAAAGGGCAGAAGCATCATCATACGTGCACATCCACGGTCTGCTATGCTTTCTTCCGAGCCAAGCTGCAGCCAAACTTCCTCTATAGCTTATTCAGTTATTTACAGAGAGAAGACCAGACATCTGCTTTTTGCCTTCCACCCTCCACTGAAATACAGAAAGTAAAAGCCACGATGAAAGCAATTTAACTGCAGACTGAACGCCAGCTCCGCCTCGTCGCTGCATCCTTCTCAGATGCATCACTGGTACCCCTCAAGTTCAGATTTAGGAAGTTGAGTGGTCCGACAGCTGCTGTCCACATTCCGCCAGGTAACAGAAGTAGAGGACTTGTTGCCATCTCTGATGCATTGCTGAGCGAAACTAGTTTGGCTAATAGGGCTGCTAAGTACGGGCAGCTCTTCCCTGGGAGAGGCTGTGCAGCTCACCCAGACACATTTGATAGCGTGACATGCCTCCTACCTCTGTGAAGCAAAAGATCACCCCCCACAGATACAGAGGTGTTCAGAATCTCTCATTCCCACCTAAAGACTGAAGTGCTGTCACTTCAATAGCACGCCTAGGACTGGAACACCACATAAGCCATTTCAAGCCACCAGTCATTCATTTCTTGAGCTCATCCTGCATGGAAACATCACAGCACTGAAAATTCACAGACAGAATGGGTACAGCAGACAAGAGTAGAAGTGTAGTTCGTCTGATGGCTCAGACAGTGAGATAACACCTGCTAGGAAACAGATAGCTCCTGAGGTGCTTTGCTCTTTCAAGGAAGAACCCTGCCTTTTTGCACTCTTTGGGAATCTATACCTGCCTGAGAAGTGTTTTATATGACTGCTTCTCCAATGTTGAGTGCCACAGACCTGACGTGGATCAGCCTCACAGACTTCCTTCCTAGCTGTTTTAAGGCTTTTCATTGATTCAGCTTCAACAAATGTTGTGTCAACTGTCTTAAGGAAACAGCAGAGAAGACATGTTGTGCAGAACTGAGGAGAATTAGGTCTGTTTGCCAAGCTGGAAAGGAGGAGACAAAGGCCTTCAGCCTCGCACACAAGTTCTGTGCTCTCCACAGAGCTGGGCACCCAGGAGTTCAGCCACCACTAGAAACTGAAGGCTTGCAAGGAAGCTGTCTGCAACTTGTGAAGAGTATTTCGTGCAACAGTGAAGGTGAAGAAAAGTTCACCATTTGGAGTCCTTCCTAGTCCAGACCTAGGACACACATTTCACCACACAGGCCTGACTCATTCATTGGACAGCATACAGCACTATGAATTCACACTACAGAGTTAAAGCAAGGGGCAGAATTAATAATTTATTTTTTGTCCCTGCAATAAAGCTGCATGAACTTCAGCGTCACGTTGAAGAACAAGATGTGCATATCAATCTCTGGGGTGGGCAGGTACTACTGTATCACGACAAGCAAATATTAGAGCATGAAGCACTATGAAGCTAAATTTTACTAATGGTTATAAGAAGTTATGTGAACACCCCAATGAGAAGACATAACTGCTACTGCTTGTACAGTGTCCAACACAATACAGCTCCTGTTCTGAGCTGGCCCCTAGACACTGCTCTGTAACTGAATTGTATGAAAGCATTCAGTCCTGCAAGCTCAGAACTCTACTCATCTTGCAGAAGGTATGAGTCTCTCTTTTACTTGAATCCTCCTACGGGGTAAGTCTACTGCACATGGGGAAAAGATGCAGCATTAGTTAAAAACACCACCAAAACAAGCAAATACCCACAGACGCACTGGTTGATAAGCATGCCTTTCAGTAACAGCACTGGTTTATACAAGCCCTGTTCCCCCCACCACCACCACCTCCAATTCTCTGCTCTCACACTCACTGGTTAAGTCATTTCAACTATCTGACAGATTAAACAGCAATCCACATTAAGGCAACTTATATTAAACTGACTCACATCAACTCCTCAGCAGAAGATCTTGGTAGCATAGCAGTAGTAGCACAGGCAATGGACTACCACTGCTGCTATCAAAATAAACACCATATGCTCATCCTCCTATTTACACCCTTCTATGGCACAGAAAAATTAGGCTCATATCTGAAATTGCCTCCAAGCATGAAAAACACCAACCTTCACTGCTCTGAACTCTTATTGATTTTGCATGAGAACTCAGAACACATCTTTACTACAGCATCTGCTGGCCTGCATTTAAATTTAAGCCTTCCTTCACTAATTAATTAATCTGCTGCAAACCAGTGGTAAAAATTTCACAGCAAACACTGGTACCCACTGGCTCTACACTGGGCTTGATAAAGAACATAAATCTCAGAGATTAATAAAAGATTATTTTGCATTATCTGATTTGAAAATACAGGGGGAAAGCATGTTTTACTGATTGAAGTAAAACAGAAATTTAAAGCAATTGTTAAAGGACTGACGTCAAAGTTTCCACTACTCCTTTACGATTTTTTTTCCTCTGGCTGTCATACAGAAAAGCTAAAATGCTTTTATACATTTCCTGCATTTACTTGGCGTCTTGGCAATTCACCTCCTTCATGTACCTCAAAACCTGTGGATCTAAGGCTTAGAGAAACATGAACTCTACTATTCAACTCATCTTTATTAACCATATTCATTTATTGCTAAATTTATTGTTCAGACTGAAAAGCAGAGACTCTAGAACATAATTTCTCATGATTCACAGGTGCCAGATCTTCCTTCCTGATATGGGATTGTGCATGCCTAACAATAAATTCTTCTAACTTACACAGTCATTTATTACTTACACAAACTGCTTTTACTGTACAGGTTCTACAGTCAGAGCCAAACTAGAACTATTGGAAGGCTAAGGTTTCCTCTAACCATAAGAAATAAAGCCAGACTGAGAGCAATCAGAGTTTGTAACTTAATTTGTAATTGCAGAACCGTAAGAAATCGGAATTAATATTTGATAATTACCAAGTACAACTGATATATCATGAGTGATTTGAGTAGAGATAGTAGCTATGGTGTATAAATGCATCACTTACAAAAAAAAAACTTTCAGTTTACATCATTGAACTGCATATAGATTTACTGGTTTCCTCTTAGCCTTCGAAGACACTCTTGTAAAAACTAGAGCCAATATGCTTCCATTTAACAGAGCACACCTACTCATACGTAATAAGGCAGAAGGAAAGGATCGGCATTTCTCTTTTCATAGGTCAGTTAGTGCAATGTCACATTAATCTTGACACACAAAACATCTCCTTCCCCTAGACATTAAAATCTAAACCCAGGTAATCACATATTCTAGTAACTGCAGGTGAGATGCATCAATCTGATGAAATCCTTGTCCTTCATGCCCAATCCTTCATGCCCATAATCACACTTCGAAAATTCAGTACAAACGACTTGCATTTTCATGATGTTCATGGTATGAAAGCAAGAGGCTGAGTTTTAACCTAGAACAGATGCCAAAACACCTTCTATCAAGTATACTTTTCACAAATAAATTCAAAATCAGATCACATCAAATCTTAAGAGTAAAAGCCTTCGCTGAAAATGTAACATGAAACATTAGTCAAAACCCTCTATGCTTTTGTTCTGCAGAAGTATCTTAAATCCTTTCTCACAAGCTTAAACCAGGAAAAGCAGCATGTAGGAGCAGAAACAAAGTTCTTTTCATTTCTAGTATGCTGATAGCATTGTACAAAGAAAGAACAAGGAGGAGGAGGAGGGATTCCTTTTCTGAAAATAGCCGGGATTATGCTGGGGGGGGGGCCTGACCTGGGTAACGAGTACCAGATGCCTACCTTCACTGGTAGCTGCATTTTTCTGGGCTTTGGTGGGCGTGTGATCTGTACTTGAACTCACGTCGGATGAGATGCTTGAGCTGCCTTTGCCTGCAAAGAAAGAAAGGGGTGGAGAGGGTGAGAGGGAGGAAGAACAAACACGAGTATCAACAGTGAAGATGACAGACCTTCCATATCAGAACCTGGAACAGTTCCAGGAAGCTTTAAAATCAGTTTACTGCAGCTGATGTTCATTTTGTACACGAGGGTGGAAGCTAACTGTGCATCTTTATCTGTACTAAGGCTGTAAACAGCCTCCTGGGTCAGAGGGGCTCAATTGCATATTTGGAAAGCTTCATTTTAAGTGAAAAGTTTCTGATTAAGAGAACTTTCATAACCAGATTTCTCGTTCAAATACTTCTAAAATAGATCTGGAGGAACAGACACTGACCCGCACCAGCACTAATGATGAAATTCAGGATGCATTAATGGAGTTTACATCACGTCAACACATAAAACAGAAATCTGTTCAAGTCTTTTGCTCATGTGAAAATGAAAGCAAGGTAACTGCTGTTTCCTCCTACATCACATTCACTGCTTGAAATAATAAATGCTTTTGAAACCAACACTTTTATGGTTGCTATTCTTCACCACAACTTTTATGCCCCTCTTAACTGGAAATCAGAACAATGGAAGTGTCTTTTCTTATTTTCTTTTCTAAGACTTTTTTTCTGCATTTTCTACATCAGGTTCCCCAGTCCTCTGTGTAAGGTATCAGACCAAGCAGAAATTAACAACAGGAAAAAAAAGACCAAAAAAAAAATATCTTAGGTGCTGCAAAAGAACAGAGGGAGCTAAAACAAAGTTGTCTTTTTGTTGACCTCTGAGGATCAGAGAATGATTTGTTTCTCTTCCCCTTCACTCGCACTACTCAATAACTACTAGCAGGGATACACACACTCTGCTACTCCAGCAGGAACTGGAGCAGCCACTCCAAGCATTACATGAAATAAATCTAGAGAGAGGCAAGGTAATGAATGCTGTTACATTTTCAGGTGTTACCTCTCCCCACACACACTGCATCGGTGAAGCCTTTAAGAGCTATGTTAGTTTTTGAACCAAAATTACACTGCAGGCAGAAAGCTAGCTGACACCGTGTTTTTGTCACTTGAGTAAACCTATAATCACAGGAATGTTAGCAAGAGACTTTCCTGATCTGTTATTTCAATCAAGCATTCCTCAGGGTTCTGGGTTATAGTCTGCCTGGTTTTCATAACATTTAGATGTAAGGAGGAGGTCTGCTTTTTAAAGGTGCCACAACAGAACGAGGATTTAAGTTTTAATGGGAAACGACTGGAGAATGTGCAAACGTAGGTTGCTGCACAACCAAGGTACTGCCACCACTTAATCCGTCAGCCAACCCTAGAGGATCTTTCCCCACATAAAGTTGCTTAAGTTAACATGCTTCGATTTGAGAGAGGACTACAGAGTGAAAGGATATTAAAAAGGCCAGAAGGAAGTGAAAAAGAGAAAGAATGGCTAAAGCTAGTAGTTGGGCGGGGTGAAGGGAAAAAGAAGTGCACGTTCAGTGATTCACAAACTGCTTTTTGCATTCCTTTAAAAAGTCAAGCAAACCCAGGAAGCAGTGCCTCCAGAATATCACTGGACTGCTTGCAAGCTGTGGCACGAGGGAGTAACGCACTGTGGTCTTTCTAGAACAAACTGCCTCAAAATAGCTCTCTGGCTAAGGGCAACCAGGGTTGGGATAGGAGAAAAGCAAATGAGAAAAGAGAATAACTGCAAAATGCTAATTCCCAGGAAGAGGCCAGAGAATTTGGAACACCTGCAGTAGCCGATAAGCAAATAATGAATTATGGTGTATGTATTTAGATGGTTTTGCTACTACCAGGAACTGCTCATTTGCCAAACATTAGAGCTGCAAAAGCAGGAAAACTTCCAAGGAGTATCAACTCTCCTGACAGAAAGAAAAGAAAGAACAAAGAAATCAACTCAAAATATGATTTCCTCCAAGCAAATAAAGAGGACTTGCTTCCTCTGAAGGAAAAAAAAATCTTCTGGGGGAAAAGGAAGTCAGTGATACCAAACAGCAGCAGAGTTGCTAGCTGGGCATCTGTGGCATGGGTTATTTTCACAAAGTCATTGTTTCCTGCAGCTACATATCTCCCCCAATAACATCAATATTAGACTGCATTCAAGTAAGCCTCCAAGAGCACGACAAAAATGTTTTACCCACTGTAGGGTGCTGATCGCCAGTACATCCCACAGCAACAGATTTACAAGGGCACACTTCTGTAGTAACTGCAAAATACCAGATATATGTCAAGGCAACTACCATTTCTGTCTACTTTAATATTAAAATATTTTAACTCCTTGTAAGAAGTTAAAACTGGAAATTAAGAACAATCTATTCTTGTTACTGGTGGCACTGTATAAAAGTTCCTCCTGCAACTATACTTTGAATATTTTGTGATAGCTTTAGAGTCTTCCCTTACTACACAAACCCCAAACAAGCCTTTCCCTGTCTACACTGAAACACTCCCTTTGGGTAGGCAGGGGAAGCAGGAGATGCTTTCTAGTAAATTTTCAACAAATATTTTAAATAGATCAGCAGGCCCTATTCTTGTAAAGCAAAATAAAGCCGTTCACTTCTAATAGCCTAGAGGTTGCCTGCTGCAACCTCACGTACACATGCAGGAGCTAACACGACAGCGTGCAAGCATTCCACAAATGAGTCTGGTGGTTGGAAAAAATGCACACTCAGCAAGTTCACAAACGCCACAAAATAAGCCGTTGTGGTTCATGCACCAAGATGTCACTGCCAACCAAGGGACCTTCACAGGTTGAAAAACGTGCTGGCAATAGCCTCAGGAAGTTAATTCGACAAAAGGAAATGCCAAGTACTGCATCTGGGGAGGAACAACCCCATGCACCACAACACATTGAGAAAGCAGCTAGACAGAGAGAGACATGGGGGTGCAAGGAGGACACCAGGCTGCAAGGTGAAAAGGAAAGAGGCAAATTATGATACAGCATACGGGACTGGTGCTGCCAGGCACCCAGCAAGTGCCGTGATGCCCAGGGCCCACCCGCTAATTCCTCTGAGGCAAGGCTCTTCTGCAGCACTCCTCAGGGCACCACCTGCCAACTGCACCATGTCAGCTCTCAGACTGCTCCTTCCCCACTGCCACAGGACAACCTGACACGGCACGTAGCGCCGAGAAGTTCATCTCTGCAAAACTGCCCTGAGAAAGCCTCAGCAAGCAAATACAGGGAGTACTATTACAAAGATTACAGAAATAAAGAGTATTTGATTCTTTGCTTTCTTTATGTAACTCTTCATAAGATAACAGCCTGCAAAATGTTTCCCTAGCACTTGAGATTGTCTCAAGTTTCCCTTATGCGTTCCACTGTTTTTTATTTCAAAGCCAGAATCACAACCCAAAAGACAGCACACCCCACTCTGGTAGGAGGTAGGTAGAGTAGAAGACAGCGATTTTCACATGATAACCTAATGCACAGCAGCAGCAAAGGTAGCATGGACTTCACCACACCTAGAAGAAATCATACAGCTACACAGTCGCAATTCAAATCATGTCTAACCTGCTTCTGAAGAAGCAAGAGTTTGTGTTTTGTGGTTGGTTTTTCCCATCTACTAGTGCCAAAGCCTTACAATAGCTGTAAGAACAGCACTCCAGCCCTATAACCTAGTATCCTATTTCCTATACATTTTGTTTTGATCCCGCTGGAAGGAAAATTAAAACAAGACAAGCACATCACAGATGCTTCCCCTGAACACTGCCACCAGCACTTTGTCACCAAGGATTTTTTTCAGTCATAGAGGATCTTTGTGCTTAATAGCCCTATAACCCTACCTGGTAAATCTACCTGGTCTCTTTTTGAGTCATGATATTAAAATAATGTGTTCCAGTTTTGTTTTTTTTTTTTTATCACAGGTGGCTACATCAACTAGAACATCAGTTTATTTTTAGTAAGTGTTTACATTTTCTGTTTCACTACAGCAAATTTCTTATTAATCAAAATAATGCTACAGATTATCCAATGAAATATGACTAGAAGATTATGCACAGAATTGGCTGGTCTTATTCCATATTTCTGTATTACTGCAAAATAAAAAAAGTTTTTTTTCCCCAGCTGCTTGCATAACTATTTTTTTTCCATGAGCACACTGACTGGGGAATTATTTCTCCAAACACCTCAGTCCTTCAGGCCAAAGACTTGCAGGATGTAAGACTCATATGCACAAGGCATCTTAGCCAAATGGAAGCATTTAATAAACACTGGAAAGGAAAAAAACACAAACTCATGAAAAGCAAACTTTGTATTCTGCCAGTCATGCTCACTGCTGAGAAGTGTTGAGGCCATCACAAGTCCGTCAGGACAGAAGCAATGCAATTTAAACTCATCCAGGGAAGTACAGTCTGTAACTGTCCAAGACTGAGTGAAACACTATTTTTCCCCCTAAAGCATATATGCAAAGCCTGTCCTAATATGGACAGTGTTTCTGACTGTATTACTGTCACCTTTTCTTTTGACTTTCAAATTTTGTTCACTGTTACAGCACATGCAACTAGCATAAACAGAGGCTGAGTGAATTAGGTGATGAAATTTAGGTGATGAAATTCATAACATACATGAAAATCATTGACCTATGTGATAGAAAAAGGCGTGGGCTGGCAGTAGGTCGCTTTCCTTCTCCTTTAGAATAGATTTACCATGGTGTTTTTCTTTTTTTTTTTTCCCCCAGCACAACTTAGCTGTTCTTGATGCATGTTTCCATCTCTTAGGGGTTTCTTTATTGGTTTTTGCTCTATCTTACATGACTTTCTAACACCACAGAAACAGGCTGTCTTCTTAGAAGCTACCCTGGGAAGACAATAGCAACACTGCCCTTGGCAAGAAGTTTTAATCCAACAACACACCTGCCTTCACCAGATAGTTAAAGAGTTAGCTCTGGACTTAAATGGAAATTTGAGCCATATCCATAGTTTGTCAAGTTGACATGAAATGTTAAACAAAATGCTAAAACCAAAAGTATCAGAAAAAAAAAATGAGCAAAAAGCAGCAAAGAC